AGTGGAGTGTGGCATGATATGAAAGATTCAAAATAATTAATTATGGGGTGACCCAGAGATGCACAGCTCCCCTTCACTGCATGAAAGCTGGTGGCATATTGGAGGGTCCAGTCCTAGCCCTGCCACAGGGAGCCTGGGTGCTTGCGGGCAACTCATTTCACCTCTCTGTGTCCATCTCTGATCTGGGATCATTCTCGCTCTCTGCCTTGCACAGACTTTGTAAGGATAAATTAATTAATGCTTGAGAGATGCTCCAGTATGACACAAACAGTAGCTGTAGAAATGCCCTGGAATGAAGGAACATCTTACTCATGCAAAAGAAGCAAAATAAAATGAGAAGACACAGTTTCATTGACTTCCGCAGGGAATATGTTGTTTTGATTGTTTCCTGTGAAAATAATTTCCAACTGAAGATGTCTATACTGGAGTATAAAGGCAACGAATGTCAGCTCCTTCCACCTGTAATTTACACCTCTACCAAATTAAAAATGCCATAGTTCTGCTGTGTTCTGCTCTATGTATTCTTCTCTATATATTTTTCACAGATGTAAACAATCGAACAATTAGAGGGCTTTGAAGCATCAGGCGTAGTGTTTTATAGGTAGTAGGTGCTTGATTGTTTTATGTTGTGGAACGTTATGTTAGGCTGTAAGCTTAATGAATTGTCAAAAGTGTCAAGGAACCAACACCTTATTTGGAGGCTTCTGAGCAGTTCAAATACCAACTTCATCTGTATGTGTGCTCACACACATATGACTATATAAAATTCAAAAGCAAACACAAACCATGTAGTTTCATCCTTAGCTGGAAACTTGCTTTTGTTCTCAGAATGGTTCATCTGAAGTATTTTACTCTGTAACAAGCTTATGAATGAGCTTGTGAAAATTTCCCTTACTGATTAACGATATTGTGGCAACTTAATTTAATGTTCTGGATGCTCTGCGTAATCACTTAGGACCTGATCTCACAAGTATACGGACTCAGAGCCTACCAGGTGTTTAAGAATTCATTTCCATATGTCCCAAAGGGACCTGGCCCCACAGCCCTCTGGGCCCGAAGTGCACATCCCTAACTTCAAGTTTCAGCGAGCACCCACCGCTAGGCGTGTGCTCTCACATTCACAGGACTAAGGCCTTGCAGTTCATGCTTTTTGGGTCAGGGACAATCACTCACCCAAGTCATTTAACAAGCATTACTTAACGAGGTGTGTGGATAGAAGCACCACTCCTTCACCTTGTCTTTCAAAGCATAAATAAAGTTCATCCCAACTTCATCTGTTGCTGTTTGTTAACAGAAAATAATTCAGATTTTGAAGCAGGGTGCGATCATGCTTTTCTAAAGACCTTCAGGAAGGACACGCTGCCCAGCACAGTCCCTGCATGGCACAGGTGCTCCCAGACAGAGGAGCAGCAGCTCTGCTTTCCACTAGCCTTGCCCAGGTATTTACTGTTCTCATGTATAAATGTATTTGTTTGACACATTAAGATAAAGCAACACCTAGAAGTCAATCATCCACAATCATCCACAAAGCAGCAGCAGTCTCTTTTCCATCCCTAAAGGTGTAGTAGGAGAAAGAAACCATTGCAGAAATCTCACACACACATGCACGCGCGTGCACATACACACAGACACACACACACACAGACACACACACATACAGTGTAGATGCACCTCACAAGAAGGAATAAAAGCATATCTTCTAAGTTTGCTTAGGTTTAGCGAAGGTCAGAGATTTTCGCACCTAGGTGAGCTGTCATCTGGCTTGGGGCAATTCTCTTTTCTCTCGCATCCTTTGCTGGAACAGCAGGAGTGCTTTGCTGGCGTGAAAGACTAAACCGTCCTCAAGCTATAAAGGGCTTGAGTCACAAACCACTTCACCCTCCTCCCCCGTTTCATATTAATTCAGGACTATCCAAAATTATTCTAATATTCCCTCACCTGTTGGTTATGAAAACCTGTTGAGGGTCGAGGGAGGTAACAAAACATATGGGATTTGCTCTGATCAAAATAATTCTGGACTGATGCAGTTAGAACTTCTCCTCTCCTACTTTTAAATACTGAATTTTATTTCCAAGAACTTAAACTGAATTAAATAATCACCTAAGAACAACTACATCATTAAGAGACAACAGCAACACCTAAGCAAGTGAATGCAAAACAAATATTAGAAAATGATTGTACAATTAAAAAGCACAACAACGCTTGAATGAATGGACAGCTTCAGGATCAGGAATAAACTCCTGTCATGACAGCCCTTATCAGTTGGTATACTGACCAACAGGGAGCTCTGCATGTCTTGTAGTTCAAAGCAATGTCTTAAAGGGACATTTAAATCAGAAACATGATTATTGCTTTTGAACACAAGCTGCCTATTTCAATGTTTTCCCTTTATTAAAGACTTGGCCCCTTCCATTGTTAAATACTTTTTTTTGCAAGTTCTTTCATTTTTCATTGCTTAAACCTCCCATGCAACAACTATTTTGGCTGTTAATGAAGGGAATTTTTCTGCATCCAGCAAACTGTAAACCATGTCGCCTGGATACAGCAAAAGCCTAAATTCCACAGATTTCCACAAAGTCATACATTGTGTTGGGGGGAAAGTGTGTTGAGCATTCTTTGATTTTTGTGCCCTGCATTAGCATTTGTAAGTACTTATGAAAGAGAAAGAGAGAGAGAAAAAGAAAGAAGAAGAGGAGAGAAAAAGAGAGGAGAAAGAAAGTGAGAGAGAGCGAGAAAGAGAAAGACAAAGAAAGAAAGAGAGAAGAAAGAGAAAAGAAAGAAGGAAAGAGAAGAAAGAAGGCAGAAAGAAGAAAGAAGAAGGAAGAAGAAAAAGGGAAGAAAGGAAGAGAAAGAAAAAGAAGAGGAAAAGAAAAAGAAGAGGAAAAGAAAAAGAAGAGGAAAAGAAAAGAAAAGAAAAGAAAAAAGAAAAGAAAAGAAAAGAAAAGAAGGGATTTTTTTTAAAGCTGCTGTGATGAACGCAAAATATGACCTTTTCTTCAAAAAAGTTTGTCCTGTCCCTGCTGTTTAGCACCAGTGCCGGGCTCCCTTTCCCCTCAAGACGCTTCGGAGTTGTTAAGCATCTAGGGGTGATAATGTGACTTTGGGCTAACCCGGAGGGCTGCAGCAGACAGCAGTAGGTGGTGATGTAATAGGTACCAACGCACATGGATATATAAATATCGTGGCTAGGGCTGAAGCGCTATGGCTGAGCAGCTACCGAAGAAGCCGGGCACTTCAGACAAGACTCCCGGGGTGGGGATCAAGTTCAGGAGCCCTCGCTCCCGGGATTTCCTCTCCATGCAGCCCGCCCGGGGCAGCCGCGCACCCTCGGCGGACTG